TTTTTCTATAAGTATGTAAGAAATACAAAGTAAGATATATAATAAATTAATATAAACAATTATGAGTTAATATACATTAAACATATATATATATATATATTTATTTAATTATTTATATACATATATATTATAGTAGATAATATTTGTTATACCTTATACACAAGACATTACTTGAAACAAATTGGAAATATTTGTGTAATGTATTTTAAACGCTTAATGCTTAATGCTTAAATTTGAAAAAATTTTATTACACGTATTTGGAAATGTTAATAACAGGCAGAGAAAGTAGCTAGAATGTCTTGCGTGCTCGAGTGGTATCGTCTTCTTGATAAAAAGGCGCGTGCGATTGTGCTAGTGGTGATCATATCAAACTTACCTACTAAGGTCACCGCTGGGAAAATCGTGGATTTATCACTGAAGACATACGGCGATGTAAGCACATTCGTTCGAAAGTATTCGCTCAGTTTTACAGGAATCAGCAACAATTACACACTACAATTAAAATGTGATATTTAATAATAATTATTATTATCATAATGGAATCCAATGCAACATTTCTCAATCAGTCTATCGCGCTAGTTCAATAAAACCACGACGAAGTAATAAGTATAGAAATAACTACAGAATATTATGCTCTTATTTTTCAGATTATAAAGACAGCTGTGACATACTTCAATATGCTTTTAAAATTAACAGGCTAAATATTTCTGATTTTTATTTTTTCTTCTCGTCGAATCTCGTCGAACGCATCATATGATAATATCGTTTATGATGTGACAAATGCAAAAGCTTAGTACAATGTATATATGTATAGAGAATAGCCCTTAAGAAATTTTTGTTTCTCTGTCTGGCAGAACTGTACATTTTATGTTTTCATAGAAAGCAATAATAAATTTAATTATCTAATTGCTTTAAGCATAAACTATTTTGAGAGATACATTTTCACAAGACGCATGAAAATTTCATGGGGGGGCCAAAATCAGGCCTTCTTGATTCTCGTCCTTTTTTTTCTCAGTACGGCAAAAATACGTTAAATTTTCAAAGAAAGCAGATTCGATTAGTAATTAAATTGTATAATTACTATTTCATCCTGGGTGTAAATTTAAATAAACCGTATCTCTACTTTATTACAAGATGAATAAAAGCACCGAGCAAAAATTAAGGGATAACCACATGCATAAATATAATTTCATATTTACCAATTGCATATATAATACACAAAACCAATGCTGCTTTATAGATTCGTTATCTTCTGTATGCGATTATAAAATGTGAGCAGATCGAAGTAGCGCATGATATAACTCAAATTATTATACATCAATTCTCAGTCAACGTTCGTTCTGCAAAACTACAGCCTGAGCTATACATTATATCGGTAATGTCACATCGTGACATAAGAAAGAACAAAAACGTTATATATAAAATATAATTCGATATTAATTTAAATATATTTTTATAAAATTGATATAATTTTTCTGTACCTAAAAAATCAAGTAGAATTTCAAATTTATATGACAGGAATAAGTTATACAATAGTCCATTTTGCTTCGAAACCTTTACTTTAAAAGCTATTTTATCCAGCATTAAAATCTCCAGAACGTTAGCACGGCATGCGTTTAAACATTATCCTGTAACTTTATTAAATTCACTGACGTTGTCATCACATCGGAAACATCATACTTGTTGTCAGACTTGTTGTATTGATTTCAAAGCAGATCGAATTATTACCGTACTATGTAAATAAAACTTGCTGGCGGTCAACGTCCAACGGGTGCAATTGTCAGTTTTAATACAGGAAGGAAAGTTCAATCATATCGACTGCTCTTGGTTGTTTGGAAAAAATGCACATGTTAACAAATGGAAGCTCGTTTCTGGGAAAGCAATCTGAACCCTCGGTGAGCAAGTTGACTTCGAAACTTTCCTGCTTTCGATCCCTCTCCTTCCACCATCCTTAATCTTTAATGCGCGCAAGCGCAAACCCTGCCACGAATTTACTTTATTGACAGTTTTTATTTGCAGCGATCAGTCGTCATCCAGTTTTCGTGAAGACTTCATGCCAGATCGCAAAAAGAATGTTGGGAAACAAGTATTACAAGGATGACATGATTTACATTACAAAACTCACGCGAAACGTTCTAATCTTACTCGGGGTCTGGCCGCCTTACGACAGGAGAAGAACCACCGGCGAAAAAGTTTGGAAGTACTTCCTTTTCACGATCTGCAACATTCTTCTCTACTGCGTCCTGATTTCCGGTGCCATGTACTGGTTGATTGAGAAGGGGGCACGCCTCAGAGTCCGAACGATGCCTCTGCTTGTCTTCGGCATCGTCACTTGTGGTAAATATGGCAATCTGATGTTACACGAGAAGGACATCAGACGCTGCTTGAAGCACATCGAGGAGGATTACAGGTTCGTTACCAGTGCGAAGGCGCGGGACACGATGATCGAGTTCGCGAAGATCGGCATACGTCTGGTCACACTTTGCGCGGTTTTCACGTACAGCAGCGTGGTCTCCTTTCGTTTGATCTTGCCGTTTGCCAAGGGAAAAATCGTCACCGCGGAGAACATCACGATCCGACCTCTGCCTTGCTCGGCTTACTTCTATATCTTCGACGTACAAATCAGCCCAGCTTACGAGCTGATCTTCGCAATACAAGTATTGTCCGGAATGGTCACTTTCTTGATAACGACAGGTTCATGCGGTCTCACGGCCATCTGCGTAATGCACGCCTGCGGCCAAATGACAATCCTAATGAATTTGATGAGAAATCTTGTTGAGGAGCAATGGCAAGAAAACTGGGAAGTGGACATGAAGCTGGCACGATTGGTTGAACATCAAATAAGAATAAGAAGGTAAGAGTTTGAGAGTTTTATTTCTTTATTAAGACCACGTGCATCAAGTGTGACTCGACGTTAATCGTAATTGATTGCTCGTTAATCGATTAAAATCATATACATGCAGAGTGGAGATAATTTTGTTTTCTCATTTCCTAAATTTATTGATTCGGTGTCGGCAGTTTTTTACAATTGGTAGAAAATACTGTACAACAAGTGTGTGTAATAGAATTGTTGGGGTGCACAGCGAATGTCTGCATTCTAGGATATCTTATTATAAAGGTTCGTAATTTTGTTCAAGAGTTTCAATGTATTAAAGCAAAAGGAAAAAAAATACTTCCTTTGCAATAATGTGGTATTTGTAGGAATGGGAGAATAGCAATTCACTAGCTATATTCTCCTACTTTTCTGTACTTATGTGTATGATGGTGGACATGTTTATGTTTTGTTATACTGGTGAGCAACTTACCGTTCAGGTATGTTGTTGCCTTTTTCTCGCGAAAATTATATAATGATATGATATATCAACAGCAATAATTATACGTGAAATATATATTAATATTAATAGTATTCATATTTATATATAATATAGACAATATGTAATAGATATTATATTCATTAACTTATATACAAGACAATATTTGAGAAAGAATTGGCAATATTTGTATAATGTTTTTTTAAACGATGCTTAAATATGCAAAAATTTTATTACACATACTTAAAAATGTTAATAACAGGCAGACGAAGTAGCTAAAACGTCTTGCGTGCTCGAGTGGTATCGTCTTCTGGATAAAAATGCGCGTGCGATTGTGTTAGTAATAATCATATCGAACTTACCCGCCAAGATCACCGCTGGGAAAATCGTGGATTTATCACTGAGGACGTACGGCGATGTAAGCACACACATTCGAAAGTATTCGCTCAGTTTTACAGTAATCAGCAACAATTACACACTACAATTATAATACGTTATTAATTAATTATTATTATCAGCATAATGGAATCAGATGCAACATTTCTCAATCAGCTTATCGCGATAGTTGAAAAAATCACGACGAATTAATAAGTATAGAAATAACTACAGAACATTATGCTCTTATTTTTCAGATTGTAAAGACAGCTTTCACATACTTTAATATGCTTTTAAAGATCGCAGGCTAAATATTTCTGATTTATATCTTTTTCTTTTCGTCGAAGCTATAACTATGAATACGGTAATATTGTTTATGATATAGATGTGTCAAATACAAAAGTATAATATAATATAGATAGAGAATATCGCGTAAGAACTTTTTGTTTCTCCATATGGCAGAGCTATATGTTTTTACTTTATGTTTTCGCTTTATGTTTTCGTAGAAAGCAGTTTGATAATAAATTAAATTATCTAATTACTCTACTTTATCTTTTTATAAATTTATATATACCATATTTCTTTCATTGAAGATGAATAAGAGGAGAAATATAAATATTAACAAATGACCGAAAATATAATTTATTAATCAGATATATACAAAACTAAGGGCGCTTTATATAGGATTAAAGCCCGTTGTTTTCTGTATGTAACTCGTAAGCAGATCGAAGTATCGCATGACATAACTGGAGCTATTACTCAGTCGTCAGTCAACATACGATCTTCGAAACTACAATCTAAACTAACAATCTAACTACACATCGTATCAGTAACATCATTGTGCGTGATGATCATGGAAAGAAAACAGAAATTTTACGTAGTAGATACGATACGTATGACATGATGTTTATTTAAATAAATCCTTATATGATTAATTGCTTAATTTTCCTTTTTCGTATATCAAGCAGCATTTTAATTATTATATAATAGAAATGATATGTTTCATAAATAATAGAAGTGAGCTGTATAAAAAAAATAACTTTGTTTTGCTTCAAAACTATTATTACACTTGGAACTCCACCGTACGCAGCATTAAAATCTCCGAAGCGATCGCAGTGGTACGCGATCAGCTAATATTTCACAGCACTGTAAAGATTACCATCTAAATGCACATTGCACATTTTAATCAAGAAAATGATTATGATGATAAAAGCAGCAAAAAATACTGTTTGAGATATAGTCGCGTGATAAGTGCAGTGACTTCTCCGGATACTCTGTCAAGTCAAAAGACATGTGTTTTGCTTACACTGTCATTATCAGTAAGTTTCCTTTGCAGGACGTTAACCCTTTCGTATAGCTGCCAGTAAGAAGAACTTTCTGTTCCTTATCATGGAGGAAAAAAAATCTGTAAATAGATCTGCACGCAACCCCTTTGAAAATCGTAAATAGATCTTCGTGTAACCCCTTGGAAAGTTTCTGTACATTATCCATACATTAACCATCCGCTTGACGTGGCTCGGGCAGTCCCCTTGACACGCAGGCGCACACATGAATCATGTTTCAATGCTGTGCCCAGCGAAGGATATGAGTTCGTGGTGGCGGACAGACTCGTCTCGTCTGCCTCTGTACTATCGCGCATTGCAAAACGTATATGATCCGCGCTACACGGTATCGTGCTATGAAGTTGGAGGAGTCCGCGTAAGAAATTGCGTATAGAGTCAATCCGCCACTCGAGATGTTCGCCAACAAGTATTACGAGCGCGACATAGAGAACGCTTTCGCGATGAATCGCTTCTTCTTTCGCATAATCGGCATGTGGCCGTTCGCGCGCGCGAATTCCCCTCTCCTGAAGTCGATGGAGACGGTCGCGCTGGTCCTCGCGTGCTTCGTGTCTCTGCTCTCCGAGCTGATTCCGACCATGCTCTACGTGTTCATGGTGCTGACGGACGCGCGTTTGAGGCTGCGGGTCGTGGGCAACGCGATCTTCACGGCGGTGGAGCTCGTCAAGTACGTCTACGTGCTGTTCTACAAGAGCCAAGTGCGAAGCTGCCTGATACTCGTCGACGAGGACTGGCGGAACGTCGTGAATCCGAGCGATCGCGTCTCGATGCTCGACAAAGTGAGAATCGGCAAACGTCTGCTTGCGATGTGCGCCTTATTCGTGTACCTGACCGGCATGAGTTTCCGCATAATCATGCCGCTGTCGACGGGGAAGGTCGTCACTCCTCAAAATGTCACGATCCGACCGCTGCCGTGCGTGTCCTATCTCGTTGTGCTCGACGTGCAGCGTAGCCCGGTCTACGAAATCGTGTTCTTCGTGCAATTCCTCTCGGGATTCGTCAAGTACACGATTACGGTGGCGACCTTCGGCTTCGTGACCCTTTGCGCGATGCACTATTGCGCGCAGGCGGACGCGCTCGTGACGCTGATAAACGATTTCGTGAACGAGAATCGACCGGAGAGGTTGAACAAGAGGTTGGCCACTGTCGTGGAGCATCAAATCAGAATAAGAAAGTGAGTCTCTCCTTACATACGACATGACTCCTCGCTGATTCCTTAAAATGTAATTCTAAAACTTTAAACTAATTCGTATATAGAGACTCTATGTCAGAGCCTAATACGCGATAGTACATTCTACGCAAAATGGGTAACGTGTCATCAATTATCAAAGATACATGGGATTAGCAACTATAGCGATTTTTGTTAGAAAACAATTTTCACGGTTTTCTCGCCGTTATTATACATTTTAGTTTCTTACAATTGGTGCAGAGTGTCACTCAGTATCCGAATTTAATAGAAGTCCTGGGATCGACCATAATGATATGCTTCGCGGGATATTACGCTATCGCGGTGCGCAGAAATATTTACGTGGCAATGAATTTTAATGGATAAAGAAATTATTAAGTTCAGATAAACGTGATAAAATGCGATTTTTTACGTTTTCATATCATGTTTTATAAAAAAATTAATAAGACTATTCAATTTACAGGAATGGGAAAATCATAATATTGTTCGTTTGTTGACATATTTCATTAGCCTAGCAATGTTCCTTTTCAACATATTTATCTATTGCTACATGGGCGAGCAAATCGTCGAGCAGGTATGTGTTATCAAATCGTTTTCCACCGTGGGAGACGGACAGTAATTGTAAAATATCTATTTAGCAAATAACGAAGCGCGAATGTAATTTTTTTCGTTCGCACTACTGACGTTTGTAATTAAAAATTAGGGAGAGAAAATAGCGTTGACAGCATGCACTTTGGAATGGCACCGTCTTCCGGACGCAAAAGCACGAGAATTGATTTTACTTATAAGCATTTCCGATACTCCATTAAAACTTAAAGCAGGAAATTTCATTGAACTTTGCCTCAGAACGTTTGGCAACGTAAGTGACACTGCGGCTGTTCTAAATTTACTTAACAATAAAGCTAATATCGTGAAAAATTCTGCGGGCGATTAATAAAGATATGCATTTATTTTTTAGATTGTTAAAATGGCCGTGACGTATTTAAATCTTCTTCGATCAATTGAATAAATTTTAAACGTTAATTATATAGATAGTAATAAAATAGTAAATATCTGTAAAATAGAAGTAACATAAAATAGTTAATTATATAGATAGTAGATAGTTAATTATATAGATAGTAATGAAATAGTAAATATCTGTAAAATAGAAGTAATATAAAATAGTAGTAACATAAAATGAGTGCTTTCCTTTTTCAAATATCTTCGTTCCAAATGAATACATTTACATATTTATATTTACAATGTTCGTAGTCATATTCACACCTCATTGTATGATTCTTGACTTATTGTTAGATTTATTTTTTATTCAATTTCCAAATGTGCATATAAAATGATAAAAATATTCAGATAAAATAAATTAGCGTTATTAATTTTATCATTATAATTAATAAGTAAAAAAAAAAGTTATTTCATTACTTACAATATTACTTGCAAGCGGTACTTCACGCTAACTTTTTGCTACGTAGAAAATAAAATTTGCCGAGAAACACGCTCGGTATGCAAGGTTTGTCTCAAACGTTAATCTCCTTTTTACAATTTCTCGTCTTTTAAAAAGTCAACCCCTTTCAAGTTCAAGTTCCAAACAGGAAGGCTGCAGCACACGCAGCGATCATTTCAAAGTTTCTTCTTGCCATTGCCGTGCCATCGCAATGTGAAATATACTCAAGGAGCGCACGTGTGCGTATAGCGGTTTTCGTGCATGCATGCGACAATCGATTTCAACCTTCAATTGTATTGATGTTTTGTCGTTCCCATCTCGCAATTTTGAATGTGTAGAAATGAAATCTTACATATAAGTAAAAGCGATTTCGTGTCACATTTATTACGATAGGCAGACCAAATAGCTTGGAGAATAAATATGTTAGAATGGTATCGTCTTTCAGCGAAGAGAACACGTGACGTGGTGCTGATAGTAATTGTATCATATATTCCGTTGAAGATTACGGCAGGGAAATTGATTATTCTTTCCTTAAAGACGTTCGGCGACGTAAGCGAAATATACATTTCTGTAGGAAACACTGAAACGTTTGAAACATGATTGATTCCGTATGGTGTACACATTATTCTCTATGTCGAGGAAAAGAAGAATTCTATAATAAGAAATACTTATTCATTATTTCAGGTGATCAAATCAACGGTTTTCAACTTCAATACACTTCGCACGGTTACCGATTAAGCAATGATGATGATTATCGAGAGAAAAATGCAACTTGTTAAGCATTCACGTATTATAGAAAGTGTAGTAAGTATAACTAGATAATAAAGTGAATCGCGCGCGGAGATGTGCTGCGTAGAATTATAAATTTCTCACAAATATTACAATATATTTATCTACGAAATATCTAATAATGTGTCTTCTGAAACAAAATAAGATACCTTGCAAAATACGTAATTTGATAGTTTAACTCGCCTTATATTAAAGCGACCTTGCTGCATCGTTGATCTTGTACACGCGCGTCTACAATAGTTAAGCGAACAGAGGAGCCCTCGTAGAATGTAATCAAAAACTGTTAGCTTCACGGTCAACATCATGCTTGTAAGTTAGAATACAGAAAGAAAGAAAGTTAAATACAATGACGTTCCTGATCGCCGCAAAAGTCAACGTACACGTAAGCGGATAAGAATACTTTTCATGGAAAGCAATCTCGCCCTCGGCGAGCGACTCCGTTTACAAACTTTCTTCTGCTTTTGTTCTCTCTTCTCACGCGACGCGACGTTTTGAATCTTTGAAATGCGCGAGCACATGCGCGAGCGTACGAGTCGACTTCGCGGTCAGCCTCTCGACCCTTCGACGACCGGCTGTGGCGATTCAGTTCGCGTTCAGGTTTCGCATCAGGTGCACGTGTCACGCGTGGCAGAGAACACTCGTCGAAGGGTCCAACCAAGCTGAAATGCCGCGAAATGAGCATCATCGGAACGACATTTTGTACGTCACGCGACCAACTCGCTACATTTTAAGCGTGATCGGCGCTTGGCCCTCCCTCAGTAGACGAAGCTCCGTATGCTCGAGGGCGCACAATGTCTTGCTGATCTGCATATCCTACGCTCTCCTCTCCTGCGACCTCATACCCGGTTTCCTCTACTGGCTGGTGGCGGAAACGGCGCGTCTTCGGCTGCAGACGATCCCCGTTCTCATCTACGACGTCATGTCCGCCAGTCAGTACAGCATCTTCATATTGCGCTACGATCGGCTCAGGCGGTGCTTGAGGCACGTCGAGGAGGACTGGGAGAACGTTCTCAGCGTGGACGCGCGGAACATCATGCTGAAATCCGCGAGGCTGGGCAAGCGCCTGGTCACGATCTGCGGACTGTTCATGTACACCGGAGCCGTCACCTTCCGAACGATTCTGCCGTTGTCCCAGGGAAAGATCGTCATCGACGAGAACACCACGCTACGACGCCTATCCTGTCCGGGTTACTACTTTTCCCTCGACGTGCAAATCAGCCCCATTTACGAGACGCTCTTTATAATCCAGTTACTAACGGGATTCGTTACAGTTTCGATCGTGACGAGTGCATGCGGCCTCACGGCGATTTTCGTGGTGCACGCATGCGGCCAATTGAAAATCCTGATCGGCCTGTTGAGAGGGCTCGTGGAGAAGCAGTGGCAAGAGGAGCGCGAAATGAATAAGAAGCTAGCCGAGGTAGTCGAGCATCAAGTAAGAGTGCGCAAGTAAGTCCGCAACTTGCGAGCGTTATTCATGCTCACAGTTTAGCCACTCATATTAATTAAATGACTGTTTATTAATAATAATAAACAATATGATAATATTAATTCTTACAGTATTTATTGATTAGATAGAAATTACTAATTTTCCATTCTCTCACATTATTGGCATTTACTCTTTTTTATCTGCTAGTTCAAGTGGTGTTAATTTATCATCAACGCATAATTGTATTTCAGTTTTTTACGATTGGTGCAGCATACATTGCACGAAATATATCTCCTGGAAATTTTGGTGAACACGATAACTATCTGCCTTTTAGTGTATTTTATGTTAGTGGTTCGTAAGTTGGCTAATTGATTTTAATAAATAAGTTAAATATTTCTTTGGCATATTAAAATAAACATAGAAAAGAACAAAAATTCGTTAATTATTCGTGATTTAGAATTTTTATTTAAACTCGAATTTGAAGTTCTCATAATATGTTTCGTTAATAAATATAGTCATTTCAGATTTTACAGATAATAATTCAATAATAATGTAATTACATAAAGCATTTATATTTATAGGACTGGCAAAGTAGGAATGTAACAGCTTTATGTATGTATATGGTAAGCATTGTAAATGTGACACTCCACATATTTCTATTTTGCTATACCGGTGAACAGCTTACCACCCAGGTAAGTGAAATAAATTTCACGGATATTAACGTTTTCGATTTTTATAACACAAATAATAACATTAAAGAAGTCAGCAATAACAATACAATATGTTCCATAATAAAAATAATTTATCTGTAAATTAATGGAACAAAAAGGAGCATAAAAGTTTCGCAAAATATGAGCGCAAAAATGTTTATACAATCCAATTAGATTTAATATACATATAATTTCAAACAAATCTTTTGACCAATTGAGTCATTTTCTGTTTTTAAATTATTTGCAATTAAAGTTGCACTCAATTTTACGCAAATCCTGTAAGAGTTACTGCTGCTTGCTGAAATAAGTTTAATAAATAGCTTTATGAATATAATCGTGAAAGAAGCGCAGGGAACCGTGTTGCAATGTCCTCTTGAAATAGCGAACGAAAATTTGATAAGAAAATTTTGTGGCTATTGCTACGTGATGATGAAATCCAACGACAGGCGGAAAAGGTAGCCACTACATCCTGCGAGCTCGAGTGGTATCGTCTTCCGAACAGAAAGGCGCGTAGCGTCGTATTGCTGATAATTATGTCCAACGCGCCGACCAAGATCTCTGGAAAGTTCGCCGATCTCTCGCTCAAAACGTTTGGCGATGTAAGTAAATTAACTACGAAATTAATTATTCGTTTCTACGAAAGACTGTCTAAATATATTGAAGCTTTTCATAGCTGTTCGTCTTATCGTTAATTGTAGCAAAGTTATAATCATATTAATATCAGTGTTTTATATCCATAAATAATCGATTGATGGATGATTTTTAGCTAGAATCTTTTTTTATAAACTGAATATCATGTCATTTATATATGTCAATGATTTTTAACTAGAATCTTTTTTATGAAATGAGTATCGTGTCATTTATATACATGTCAATTTTACTAAATTACTATGTTGATTATATGCAATCGCGGTAAATATGGTTTATTGAGAACAAATCAGAGTAGAAAATAATTGAACGTGTTTTAGGTCGTGAAAACAGCTGGAGCATATTTTAATATGCTCCGAAATGTAATCGAATAAATATTTAAATTGTAATAATTGAAATTATAACGTCAGCAATGGCTCGATATAACCATCGTATTGTATTGTGTAAATTAGTCATTTATATGAGTCAAATATAAATTCATATATTGCAGTGTAAATGTAATACAAAACGTTATTTAAATATATATATATTTGAATATGTTTCATTAAATAATTTATATCATTTAATGCATACATTAATTCTTTTATTTGTACTAAGAATATAAATAGCATATCTATTTACTTTTTTCATCAGATTATAAAAAAAATAGCAATTGATATTAGCTCGTATATACAAACCGGAACATTCAACATACGACAATCAAAACTATTGCTTCCTAATAGGCATGATGCTTCAATCGCAAGTCACGATATACGGAAGGCATGAAGACAAACATGCTTGTTTTCTCCTAGTTTTGCTACAAAGGCCAACGCGAATGGATAAGAATACTTTCCTTAGAAAATCGTCCCTCTCGGCAAGCAACTTTGCCGCTGTAGTCTCTGCCCTCCACGCAACAGAGTTTAAATTCTTAACGCGTGCAATCGCATAAAAGCTCTGGTTGTGAGTTTACTTCGCAGTCAACTGTTCTTCGATCAGTCGTGATTCATGACGCGAATTGAGACATTAAGTGACAAAGAATATACGTAGAATAATATATTTTTAATGATGAAAACAGTTGCAGATAATTTAATAGTTTAATAATTAAAGTAAAGTATAATCCAGTATTTTAATAAAATAATTAACTTTTAATTATCAAAATTTTAACACATGTACATGCGTCAGTAACACGATTGCTCCTCTCCGGTTTTCGCCCGGAAATTTCGGCTTTTCTGACGAATTTCCGGCGCACGAAAATAATCTCTGGGCGAGCGCTTTAAATTCTGATGACCTTTTTTGAGGAGGAAAACACGATGATTTTTCTTCGGTTCAATAAAAAAATCAGACAACAGAATTTTTTTTAGAGAACGTTTCTTGGCAAAAGGATTTTTAATAGCGTGGTCAAAATTGATGATGCCGACGGAACATTAATACAAGGTGGCAACCATTTAGTAAAAGTATTTTGGGAAACAATGATACATGTAGTATGTATGAAATATCGATTAATATAGATTAATTCTATAAAATGTATCGTACATACTTTATCATTTTATTATCCTGCGTAACGTAGAAATTATTTTTCTGACAAATACGATTGTGAAATACTAAGCCTCCGATAGGAAGAAACGGAGTTACACATGGTAACTTTCCTAGTTGTTACCGTTAGGGAAGGTTGACGGATAAAAATACATTACCTGGGAAGCAATCCCTCTCCGATCCTCGGTCGGAGATTTCACTTTTAAACTTCATCCATTTCGAGCTCTACTCAATAATTCCGAACGCACGTTATTATCTATTCGTGACGTACTGGACAATTGTTCGGAACGCAAGCGCATTTACGTACCGACCTGACCTGCGACTGGACGGTAGCTCGCGGCGATCAGTGATGAAGAGACACGCGTCTGGTTTACGCGCGTGGCATCACGTTTTGTACTTTACTACAAAGTACAGAAGTCATAACGTCACCAAGTCGGGCTTGTAAAAAGTAGACGATACAATCACGTTACAGAAATGTATCCGAATGAAAATTATGAGAAAGACATAAAGTACACCGTACGATTGAATCGCGTCATTTGCCGTCTGTTGGGCATTTGGCCGGAGACGGAGCCCTCGTTTCTCAAAAATCTCAGGAGGATCTCACTGGTATCGGGCTGCTACTTCCTCCTCGGTTGCGAGCTGATCCCGACGGTCCTGTACATCATATTCGTGGAGAAACGAACCCGCGTCAGGCTGAAGCTCATCTCGTCGGTGATGTTCACGATACTGGCGGTCCTCAAGTACAGCAGCCTGGTGCTCAGCGAGAACCACGTGAGAAACTGCCTGGCGCGCGTGAGGGACGACTGGCGAAATGTCGCGAGCGCGAGCTCTCGCGGCTCCATGATCAACAAGGCCAGGACCGCGAGACGTTTGCTCATCCTGTGCGGCATATTCATGTACACGTCCGGCTTGTACTTTCGCACGATCGTGCCGCTGAGCAAGGGAAAGTCCGTCAACAGTCAGAACGTCACGATCAGGTACCTGCCGTGCCCGAGTTACTTCGTTCTGTTCAACGGGCAGGTCAGTCCCGCGTACGAAATCATGTTCACTATACAGTTCTTCTCCGGATTCATCAAGTACACCATCACGGTGGCGATCTGCAGCCTCGCCGCTCTCTTCGTCATGCATATATGCGGGCAGCTGGAAATATTAATGGGGCTGATAGACAGCCTGATGAACGAAACGGAGGAAGAGAATTTGGGCAAAAAGCTGGCCTTGGCCGTGGATCAACAGATTAAGATGCGAAAGTAAGTCTTGCTCATATCTGTCTCATCCCACTTCTATATCTGTATCTATCTCGCAAAGGTCAAGAGCATCTGTGAAATCGATTGAATTTCGCTGAAGTTGAAGTTAATACGTCACGTTAACGCGCTGTGTCTTTTACGCTCTATTACTAAGCTCTTTTTTTTTTCAATACGGCAGGTAAAGATTTTCTAAAATTTGTGCGCGTCCCTTTATAGTTTCTTACGATTGGTGCAGAGCACTTTGGAATATTCGAGCTTGTTAGAAGTGATGGGATGTACGATAGTTGTATGTCTCCTGGGACACGATATCATCACGGTGCGCCTAAATAATTGTGCGGTGATAACAGCTCGCACAATTTAAAAGAATAAATGCTATTTTATTATGATTTTGAGATATGTGTTATTTCGCAGAAAATACAAGAAGAATTGAAAAATAAAATAAATATAATTATCGATCTTGTAGGAGTGGGAGGATCAAAATGTTATATCTATGTGCTCCTATCTCATTCTGCTCACGTCAATTGGGTTCAACATTTATATCTTTTGTTTTATCGGTGAACAACTTTCCATAGAGGTATCGTATCATAAATTGTAGATGAAATCCTTATAAAACGGCGTCTACAATGAGATTTAAGATTTGAGATTTAAAAAAATTGATCAATCACAATCGATTATTCTTCTCACATGAGATGAATAATCGACTGTAATTGGTCAATTTTCTTAAATCTTAAGTGTTAAGTCTTATTGTAGACACCGTTTAACACGTTTAACAAGTGGTGAGACGGAAAATATATCGAAGATTCTCCTTCTGATTTTTATTTTATACCTTAATGAAACCAGGGAGAGAAATTAGCATTAACAGTGTGTACGTTGGCTTGGTACCGTCTTCCGAATGCAAAAGCACGAGCACTGATATTAGTCATAGCCATGTCGATCGTCCCGACGAAACTTAGAGCTGGGAAGTTCTTCGATCTTTCCATCAGAACTTTCGGTGATGTAAGTAACCGGGGGTTCACTGAGCACAAAACAATTAACGAAAATATATATTACATTCTAGGTCGTTAAGACGGCTGTGACGTATCTTAATTTTATTCGGAAAGTGATGGAGTAATAATTCGACACCTCTCTCTTACACAAAAATATTTGGCTGCGTATTTTTTTTTTTGTAGATATGTAACGTCATTTAGTAGAAACATTAAAATAAAAGTAACATGAAAATAAAAGTATTCAACTAAAAAATATTATGTAACGTAAATTTTTTCTTTCTTAAATGCTTACTCTGGAAAAAAGCCGATATTTTGTGAAATATAAATCTCCTCGATTCAAATATATATTTCATAAAACGATTATATCTCATTATAAAACGATGTATTATTATGTATAGTTCGATCACTTTGATTTCCTGTTTGCGCCAAAGATATCTGAATTTGCATAAAAGCTATCTATCGCAAAATTTTTATTCGTTTATCTTAGCTTCTAAAGAAGAACAATTAAAGCGATGGTGAGACAGACAATATATCAGACATTTCTTCCGATTTAATATATGATGTCTATAATTGCTAATAAAATTAGAAAGGAAAATTAGCATTAGAATAAATTTTCATATTGTTACTCTTATAATCGTTTATATTCCTTCGATTTACCGTGTCTCTTGCTTCATCTTCCACAATAAAATATTTTATTGACCACGGTGGTGATCAGCGTACCGTCAAAAGATCAATAACATCTGCGGTTTTCCTTCGCTGTGCTCGCTATTTTTTTTCTCGCTATTGTCTCGTGCTCTCTCTCTAAAGTCGCTAGACTTCCCGTCGCGGTGCTCCCTTCCTTGAACACGAGCGCGTCCCCAGCAAACAACTTTCGCAACTTTCCCGCGATTTACAAAAGGGAAAAGAAGATTGCGGGTAACAATCGCTGCATCTGTCAATCCCTCACCTCTTCCGCCCTCCCGGTCGAAGACGCAAGCGCACCGCCCTTCGCATTTTCCGCCTCACGACGGTGCGTATACGAGTCAGTCCTTCGCCGGTGACGCCAAGATCAAGTGGATCTCCCTCCTGAGTCATGCACGTGAATGTCCTTCGCGACATCAGGCGCACCGTGCACGTCACACGCGGCGTCCTGAACCTGATCGGCGTGTGGCCGTCGTCCGGCGATTCGTCCGCTCTGAAAATCGTCCAGACCAAGATACTCAGGATTCTCTGCCAGGCCCTGCTCTACTTCATCTTCGTGCCGGGCGTGCTGAAGATATTCCTCAAGGAGTCGAACGCGCGTCGCCGCCTCAAGATGATCGGCCCCATGTGCAACTGCCTGATGGCGGTGCTGAAGCACGCGGTGTTGATCTACCGGAGCGACCGCATCAGGGACTGCATCGAGCACATCATGGAGGACTGGGGCAAGACGAGCCTGACGGAGGACCGCAGGATCATGACGGGCAACTCGAGGATCGGGCGTAGCCTCGCGATCCTCTGCGTGGCCTTCGTGTACGGCAGCGGGTTCTCGTATCGCACGATCGTGCCGCTGACGCGCGGGGTCGTCGTCACGCCGCAGAATGTGACGATCCGGCCGATGGGATTCGACGGTTACTACGTGTTCGTCGACCCGCAGAGGACGCCGGCCTACGAGATCATCTTCTCGATCCAGTTCCTCTCCGGATTCGTGCAGTACTCGGTGACCAGCGGAGCCTGCAGTCTGGCGGCCCTCCTGGTGCTGCACGCCTGCGGCCAACTGAAGATTCTCATCACCAGAATGGAGGATCTCACGCACTCCAAGTATTTCTCCGATCAGAACGCCAACAGGAAATTGGCGGCTGTCGTGAGGCAGCATATCAGAATTAAGAGGTAACGTTACTATATGCCAATGGTGTCGCGTGAGCGAGAAAATTTCGCGTATAACTGCTGCTATTGTAAACATAAAGAAAAAGAAGTCACTGAGAATAAGTTATTATTATTAATGTCTGCATCTAGCTTTTTAAGCAAGGTAGAAGAAATTTTACAGTATATATGTTTGGTGGAAGTAGTCGGGTGCACGTTCATCCTGTGCCTTCTTGGATATTACATAATAATGGTATGCGAAATAATTAATAAGCTTAATACAAATAGAAAGTATAAAATTTATTGAAATCTTTTGAATTAATAGAAGACATTTTCGATGCTCGTTTCACAGGAGTGGGAAAACAACGACGCGGTGTCTATGTTAACGTACACTATACTTCTTTTAACATTCATCTTTAACATCTTCATACTGTGCTTCATCGGTGAGCTTCTCACGGATCAGGTATTGATTGACAATTGTTACTCGATCGGAATGACAAGAATCTCACTGATCTATTGCGTTATCGTATTTATAGAGCACGAAGATGTACATTACCTTCTGTACTCTCGACTGGTATCGAATTCCGCACAGGACTGCTCGCGGTCTCGTTTTGATAATCGCGATGTCCAGCATTCCCGTTAAGATCACCGCGGGAAAATTCATGGACCTGTCTCTCAATAGTTTCGGTGCCGTAAGTGCGCTTCAAATATATATATATATATATTTCCATCCCGTTAATGCTACAGATAAAAAAGCAAAGTTGATCTTCTAATCACTCGAAACGACAAATGAAAACGCAATTACGTATTTTTTAGATCATGCGAACATCGGTGGCGTATCTGAATATATTGCGCACAACCAGCATTTAAAGCTGCAGTTCGGTTAGACGAAGGAAAATTAAATTTCACATGTAGAAAATCCAGGCTTGAAATCTCATGGATTTCAGCTGAATGTAAATAGCACCATTAGAACCATAAATCAACGCAAGCATAAAACATCTGAATTCTTTTATCATTATATTCCCATGTTGGAAGCGGAAATACATCTATATATATATATATACACACACAAATTTGTACTCATATTATTGTGTCGCGCTTGTAACTTATCAAACGAATCGTATCAGCGAGTTCTTTGACTGCGAGGGTAACGTACGTGCGTAAGTTGTAACATTTACTTACATGACATTTCTCTTGCGTGCGGCAATTGCAGTATTAACCACACACTTACCCCTTCTGGTTCGTGGAGTGTAAATTTTACAAAATCATATAGTATCACGCGTCGCGCGGCGATCTTTCTCCGTCACCCGTCAATGTTGCATTTATTCGACAATTTGACAAGCAAAATTCACCAACCCCTTTCGCGTAAAACCCCGTCATTATGCGCAGACGTTTTGTGCACGCAAGCGCGCTGCACACTCTGCTCTTACCGCAGAAAGAGAGACAGACCATCTATCAACACGTACATACATCTGTCCAGTTATGCTCGAACCTATAGTCCCGCCTAACCAGCTGTCGCCTGTAAAAACCCGAAACACCGAAACGTTACTTAAAAAATTAACGGAAATTCTCAGTGTCTGAGAAGAGACGGTGTAGAAACGCAAAAATCTGCGCTCGAGTATTCAATTGTGCAATTCAATCGTGTTAAATTTGAACTCAGAGAAAAGAAGGAAAAGTGTTACATGAAGCTAATCATGAAGGGCTCATCGAAGACGAGCATCAGACGCGACAACGCCGATTTCAATTACGCCGTACAAGTGACTCGCTTGATCCTGCGAGCGATCGGCGCGTGGCCGATCCCAAGTTACGCTTCCAATGTGGAAAGACTCGCGACCCGCCTGCAAAACGTCATTTGCTACTTTCTGTTCGCGTTCATCATCGTGCCGGGCCTCCTGCGGGTGTTTCTGAAGGAGCACGAATTCAAGCGTAGGGTCAGGCTGCTCGCGCCGCTGCTGAACTGCTGGATGGGTTGCTTGAAGTATTTCCTGCTCATAAGCCACGCGAGGGAGATTCAGTCGTGCCTGGATCAGGCGCGGCAGGACTGGAACAACACGGTCAAGGAGACCGATCGCCAGGCGATGCTGTCCACTGCCAGGGTAGGTCGGAAGTTCGCGATCTTCTCCGCCGTCTTCATGTACGTCGGCGGTCTGTCCTATCGCACCCTCGTGCCGCTCTCGAAGGGCAAGATGCTCACGCCGATGAACGTGACGGTGCGAGCGCTCGCGTGCCCGAGCTACTTCATCAAGTTCGACGGCCAGGTCTCGCCGGCGTACGAGATCGTCTTCACCCTGCAGTTCTTCGCGGGCCTGATCACGTACTCGGTGAGAGTCGGCGCGGCCGGCCTCGCCGCGTTCTTCATCATGCACGTTTGCGGACAACTGAGAATTATAATGGGCAAGCTGCAGTGTCTCAACGACATGCCGAATCCCAACGACCGCGCTGTCGCGATGTTGCTGGCTGATATCGTACGGCATCAGATAAAAGTGAAAGGGTGAGTCGACAAAAATGCGCGAGAAGGGGAAGAGTCTTATATAAACGAGACGCCTTATTAATTTTGTCAAGCGAACTCTCTAAATCTGAATCAGTGGAAAAGTACTGAAAAATCAGAGTCAGTACCTATAATAGTATAATCTAACTATAATTTCACTCATAATCTATAATTAAACTATTATATTAAAAATAATTTTAAAAATAAAAATAATGAAACTATTAATATTAACTATAATTTCACTGATTACCAGTGAAATACTTGGCACTGATGCATTCAATGAATAACCATTGATAACCATCAGTGACTATGCACTGATTCAGGTTTAGAGAGAATAATTACGAAATATGAAACATTAATAAATCATAGTTATTATAATTATTATGTAAGACGGACGTTAGACTATTATTACTTTATTTGTATCAACATTTTATTAAATAATATATTACAATATATAATGCCGTGAACACGAGACTAGGTAAAGATTACAATCATTTAATAGCTAAATCATTTGCTTACAGTTTCCTGGTACAAGTAGAGGAAACTATGCGATATGTATGGTTAGTGGAAATAATGGGCTCTAGTATACTCTTATGTCTTTCGGGGTACTACATTATTATGGTAATAACGACGAATACTTTCCGCAAGGCTTTTCTTATCCACGTGTAATAATTTGATAGTCCAATTAATTCTGAAAATTAAAACTGTGAAGATGTTTAAATCAAATTAAAAATTCAAAAAAAAAAAAAAAAAATAAATTATTGTTTCGTAAGCTTCGTGTAATGCAATTGTTTAATCTTACAGGAATGGCAGAATAATGATTCAACTGCCATGTTAACTATGTCTGTGATGCTTACATCTTTCACCTTTTCTATTTTTACTAATTGTTACGTGGGTCAACGGTTGACAGATCAGGTAGCAAGTGTTGATACCTACTTGCTGTGAAAATTAGGCACCGCAACGATTCCATTCATCATAAAATATACACTTAATTAATTATGGCAGAGCACCAAGGTTGGATTAATGACGTCCACGACAAGATGGTATCGTCTTCAGTGCAAAAGGGCCCGTTCTTTAATCCTGGTAATAGCAGTTTCCAATATTCCGGCGAAAATCTCGGCAGGCAGAATGATAGAAATGTCCCTACCTACATTCCTTAACGTGAGTATAGAAGCTTGTCTCATTTCATTTACAAGCAGTAAAATGTTGTGTTCCGTTATTTTATAGATTGTTAAAACATCGATGGCGTACTTCAATATGCTTATAAAATTCACATAATTTTTATAAAATAGCTATTGTAACAATGCAGTACTCCAATATTAACTGTAATTAATGCTACCTTTGAAACGAACGAACAAAATGAACACCCGGTACTTTTTATTTTAACCCTCTCTCTAATTTTTTCTTTTTACTAATAATAAAACGTGTCGTAAGAAATCAAGGAAAGCTAAACAGCAGCTTTCCGACATATTTTACGTTTACTTAAGATTTCTAATTTTTAAGATTTGGTACTGCAATTGGGTTGCACTTCAAATTAGGTACGTTAATCGTTGATTTAATTAATAATACGTGTAGTTGGTTCTGTTGGTTCAATAATAAGTAATAATCCACAGTCTACAACACCAGGTAGACGCTTATAATTTTTGCTAGAGAGGTCTCTGAATTGATCCTATTCTATAATTATCTCCCGTCGACAAAAAAATATGCGCAACTTTCTAAAAATTTTTAAGATCAGGTACTGCAACTTCGTTGATTTAAATTAACAATTCCCGTAGTTCTGTTGGTTCACACAACTTGGTTCATACAACTCACGATCTACGACCTATGACCTGACGCAAGGCAGACGCGTTGTACTTTTTACTAAAGGTCGTCACTCGTGTGAATCGATCCTATTCCTGTAATTATCTCCTGCCGGCGCAAAAAAATTGCGCGCACGCGACCCTTCGCAATCGAACTTTTTAACTACCGCCGCGACAGAGCTGTACCGCGGTGACGGAGGCGGTGAATCACGCAGACGCGGGGGCGTGCATAATGCAAAACCGGCGGGTTTCGTCGTACTTTCGTCTGTCAGTTGCGATCGCGCGACCGCTTCGCAAACAAGCGAGAGAGGGAGAATCTGGTTTTCCACCCCGTCCATACGCACGCATACATCATGATCGAACGGACGGATTTACGGAATTCCAATTACGAGAACGACATTAAGTACACCGTGCAGGTGCACAGGCTGATCCTGGGACTGATCGGCGTGTGGCCGAGCCTGGAGAAACCGGGGAGACTGACGAGATTTCTGAGGGGACTCCTCAGGACCGCGTGCTGCTTCATGCTGTCCTTCAATGTGATACCGTGGGCGCTGTACATGTTCCTGATCCTGGACACGTTCAAGAGCCGGATCAGGATGTTCGGCGCGCTCATGTTCTACAGCATGGTGCCGGCCATGTACTGCGCGCTGATATTACGGGAGGATCGGATCAGGAAGTGCATGAAGCACCTGCAGGAGGACTGGTGGAACGTACGGGACGCGAAGGATCGCAGGATAATGCTGGACAAGGCCAGGAGCGGGCGTTTCATCCTCATCTGCACCACGCTGTTCCTGTTTCTCAGCGGTTTCACTTATCGCCTGATCCAGCCGATCTTCCGCCGCAAGATCGTGATCGGGAACGTGACGATCAGACCGCTGGTGCAGGGCAACTACTACGTCTTCTTCGATCCGCAGCAGAGCCCCGCTTACGAGATCGTGTTCTCGATGAACTTGTTCACCGGCATCATCATATACACCGTGACGACCAGCGTCTGCGGGATCACCGCGTTGTTCACCATGCACGCGTGCGGGCAGCTCGAGGTGTTGGCCGCCTGGCTGGAGAATTTGACGAACGAGGACCAGTCGAAAGATCGCGCCGTCGCTCGAAGATTGGCGGCGATCGTAATGCATCACGTGAGGATACGTGAGTAAGTAGCTGCAATTGTTACGTATTTCCCATTAATTCTAAATTTCTTTTTAAGTTTGCAATTTGTCTCGAAATATGCAAATTTTATATTGAAATATTATGTATTTAATTTCGCTTGTGATGCGTTTTGATTGTTCAACTAAGTGTCTATTTATTGAATATTAAATTCAGAAAAACTCTGGGTAAATTTTCATTTCTCTTGGATTATCAGTTTTATACAGTTAAAAAGATTTTATCAAATATTATGTCAATTTTAAAAAAAGTTCTTAACATATAATATGAGAGATTAACAATAATATATATATTCTAATATCAAATTCTAGATTTTTACATCAGATACAAGACGTCGTAGGAGAAATGTGTTTTATCGAATTTATTGGAAGCACTTTAATACTGTGTCTCCTAGGATATTACGTAATAACGGTACGCAACAGAGATGCATTTGCATTTATTAATACTTTATTAATTTTTTATTTTTTATTGATATTTATCTATTTTTAATACGACATGCAGATCTTTCGTATGTCGTTTTATGAATTTTTCGAGTACATAATAATACATTTTGAATAAAATAAATTTTAGGGATGGGAACGAAATGATGCACTATCCTCTACAACGTATGGCATAATGCTCGTATCCTTTACCTTCAATATTTTTATATTATGTTACATTGGGGAAGTTTTAAATAGTCAGGTAAAGTACGTAGATAATAGAAATATGCAAGTATAAAAATTATTATTAATTAAAATTAGAAAAGAGTGAACATGAAAATATAAAATATCGTAAAATGAAAAAGTAACAAGCATTATATACTTAGAAGAAATTGTAAAACTTTTAATGACAAGATGCTAATACGCATGTACTTGTTGCACTTTGCCATAACAGGGGAGTAAAGTAAACACAACTTGCTGCACGATCGATTGGTATTGCTTGCCTAGTAAAGAAACTCGTTATCTTATCTTAGTAATCGCCATGGCCAGATATCCTACGAAGCTCACGGCGGGTAAAGTGATCGATCTTTCATTCAACAGCTTCGGCGCCGTAAGCAATTTTATCTGTATATTTTGCCCGCACTATAATGACAGAGGAAAGTTTCTATGATAAATATCACATATTTGAATGTATCTTCTGAATATTATTTGATATGAATTATGATAAGGACTATATGTTTAAATATATAACTTTAGAATTATTTTATTAATAAATATAATATAACTGAAGAATTATTTTATTGATTGAAATATGTCGTTCTGATAATTGATTTTTCTTGATAAACGCACATACACATTTTTTATATATCAGTATAAATATTTTGTGTAAATAACTTTTATTTAACTTTTAGGTTATTAGAACCGCGATGGCATATTTAAACTTGCTGCGGACAGTCACTTTGTAATTCAGTGAATATTACATCATATACAAAAGAACTTGTCACATTGCATACATGCAGAACAAGTATTTGTAATTCGAAACCTTAAATAGTATTCATGCAGTTTCAATTTCGTTTTTAATCTCCAGATTTTTATCACCCCGAAATCTCATAGCTTTTTACTTAGGTATAAAATATAACTTTAGTTTTAATTTTATATTTATATATCAAAAAAATAAAATAAAATTATTAATAAAATGTACACTTTTCGCGTATGTGTGTGTATATGTAATGCTGCACAGAATAATATTTAAACATTATCTTTTACAGTACGTGTTGCGAACTACTTCAAAGCACAGAGTTCACTCTTTCTCTACGAGAGGTATATTTTTTCTTCCACGTTGCGAAGACCAAACCGCGAGTTCATCCAGTCTGCGCATAACGTTTTTTTCTTTCTTCACGATTTTCTAAAACGGGATCCCCCCCCAATCCAAATATAACATCACGTCGTCTCCCGCGTGAGTGTCTGTCAACACGGTAGCTATTATAAAATGCACCTTTCAGGAAACGGAACGGCTCTCGGAGCGTACCACGTGTACTCTTTTCAGATAATCGCGCAAAGTTTTCTCCGCTGCTCGCTTAGAAAATTTCCGCGTAAAATCTCTTTTTTTTTCTCTCTCTTCCATCGCGAATCTACAATGTTGGCGCAAGCGCAAATCACAGCGAGGACGAAGCTCGGAGCCTCGCGACCGTCAGTACATATCAATCGCTCGTACCGCGACAATGGACAATCCACCCCTTTATTCCGACGCCCGTAACGAGCCTGGGCCTGGGTACAATCAGAATTACAAGAATGATCTTCGAGCCAGCATGCAACTGAACGTCTGGATCATGAAGCTGGTCGGTACGTGGCCGCTGGAACTTTCCCGGCTCGAGACGCTGGCGATTCGGGCGCTGAACGCGATCTGCTACATGCTGCTGGCCTTCCTCCTGATCCCCAGCAGCATGTTCATCGTCCTGGAGATCAAGGACTTCTACAATCAACTGAAGCTCGGCAGCGCTCTCACCTTCTTCTTCATGGCGGTGATGAAGTACAGCGCCCTGCTTCTACGCGAGGGCGACATACGCAAATGCGTCGACTACATCGAGGGTGACTGGAGAAACGTGAGGTACACGGACGAGAGGAGGATCATGCAGGAGAACGCGAACTTCGGCCGCCGGCTGGTGGTCGCCTGCAGCGTCTTCATGTACGGCGGCGTCCTGTTCTACTGGGTGGCGATACCGCTGGCTCGCGGCAAGACCGTCGATGAGGACGGCAATCTCACTTATCGCAGACTGGTGTTCCCGATACCCAACGTGATCGTCGACGCCCGTCGCAGCCCCGCCAACGAGATCCTGTATTTCGTCCAGCTGCTCGGCGGCTTTATCGCCCACAACATCACGGTGGCCGCGTGCGGCCTGGCGGCCATCCTCGCGATGCATGCCTGCGGACAATTGCAGGTGCTCATATCGTGGATAAATCATCTAGTTGACGGTCGAGAGGGCGTTAATGACACCACGGATGAGAGACTGGCTAATATAATACAATTACACGTTCGTATCTTGAAGTAAGTATGACTTCGGACGTGAAACGTTGTGTGTGCACTGTTTGTCCATAAGTTACGATTACACGACAGAAATTAAGTTATAAGCCAATGCTATGCATAAATAGAATATACTCGACAGAAATATTTAAATAATTAGCAAGCGCACCTTTTTGCGTAAAAAAATATTCAAATAATATACAATAGAAAGACTAATAAGCCTTTTTTCTTTTGTATATTATTTGAATGTTTATTCTTAGCCTCCTTTATTCGAACTTCTTTCAATTTAATTTTTAAATTTAAAAAATATATAGAATAAAATTTATCATGTAAATTTTACAAAAAAAAAATGTGATTTGTCCCATGCATTTTTAGTTTCATATCGCTAACTGAGGAATTATTACACGAGATATCTCTGGTGGAAGTCGTGGGATGTACATTAAATATATGTTTTCTCGGATATTATTGCATGATGGTACATATCCTCAATATAGAATCTTTTAATGTAAAAAGTTCGTAATTTTATCATTAATTTTCATAAATTTTCGTTTATTTTATCAATATCAATTAATAATACATCAAAAAATTATTCCCTTCTGACGTTACTTATTCAACTATAAATATTGTACATTGTAGGAATGGGATTTCAAGCAACCCGTAAGCGGCTTAACATACTTGATACTCCTCATTTCGCTTACGTTCAACATATTCATATTTTGTTACATAGGCGAACTAGTAGCGGAACAGGTACACCCGTTTTTTTTTTTTTCAGAACATCGTTAATATACAAGTTTTCTATGAACGACGATACGTAATAGCGACGAATAATTTAAAACAATTTTCGTGATAATCGTCATCTATAGCAGAAATCTTATGACAGACCATAAAAGTACGTGAGAGCTCGTACATGATCGACTGGTACCGACTTCCGGAGAAAAAGAGCCTTGCTGTTATCTTAATAATCTGTATGTCCAATGCGACCACCAGGCTCACTGCTGGAAATATAATCGAATTGTCCATCAGCAGCTTCGGTGACGTAAGTATTGTATTCACGTGTAAATATTGTAAAAAAAAGAATTTTCAGAGATAATTTTACATTTTATATTGATATTCTTTAAAACTTGAGAGTTTAATTTTTCATTTAAAAAAACATGTAATGAAATAACAAATTTGCTGCATTTTACGATCAAAATACAATAGATATATCTTCGATTTAAAATTAAGAAATTATAACAACGCAATTATCTTAAAAATAATAGGTTATCAAATCATCTCTCGCTTATTTGAACATGCTACGAACATTTACCACTTGAGAAAGTACGATTGAATTATAGTAGTACTCATCTAACATTAAATCTCGCACGAAACAGCAGTAAACTTTGAGTATGTTTATTCAACTTGATAATTACTCCCCGAGTAAAACAGTCAAAGTACGTAATATTGCATTTCATTTATAATACTATATAAATTAGATTTGATATCTGCAGGATGGTATCATTAGATACGTGCATTTTTATTATTTTATATATTAATAAACAACTGATGCTTCAATAAACAAAGACACAAGATAGTAAAATACTTCCCGATATGTCTTTATAAAAATATATTTTAAAAATTTCGTTCAAATAATGTTAGAATACAATTCTATTCTATCATAAAATAATTTTTTCAATCTAGAAAATATATCGTAAAATTAAACGACCTTATTATACATTAACCTATTATACATAATTTTTATTCCCACACGATTCGCGTGTATAAGTACCAGATATAATATGTATGTATACTAAATCATATTCATTCACGCGTAACATCGAATACCTCATGCAAGAAAGAATATTTGCAATCCGCCTCGATAAATTACGGAAAAAAATGTCCTGGTGAAGAATGTAAATCTTTCCGTTTATATATAATTCACGCACGGACAGGTGCAGCACCACATGAGGAACCCTTGATCCCTCTCACGGAAATCGAGAAACGCGTCTGTAAAGTTTACCCTTCGTGTTCTACCGATCGCATGATCGCCCTTTTCCAAGAAGGAAAGTCGCGCGGAACGGCGCAGACGCGACACGTTTGACTTTCCTCGCTCGAACTCTCGTACAATCCTCTCATTGCATTGTCAGCAACCGTCGAGCTCTCGCCATTTCAACGATGCTGGAAACCGTAATGGAGAGAGCAAGTCCTGTCTACAATCATGAGAAAGACTTGCAGCTGAGCGTTCAGCTGAACCGCTGGATACTCCAGCCGCTCGGTGTCTGGCCGAAATTAACCGAAATTTCACGCGTCGAGAGATACGCGTACGGGCTGGTGAACGTAATCTGCACGAGTCTGATCGGTTTTCTCTTTGTACCCTCTGCCGTCTACATGGCGCTCGAAATGGACGACACGTATCACATCCTGAAGCTCTCCGGGCCGCTGAGTTTTTGCCTGATGGCCGTCGTTAAATATTCCTCGCTTATCTACCGCGAGGATGACATCCGCAGCGGTATCCGGCACATCGAGAACGACTGGCTGAACACTCGGCACTACGGCGATCGGAGCATCATGATCAGGAACGCGAAGTTCGGTCGGCGCCTCGTGTCGATCTGCGCGTTCTTCTTGTACGGCGGCGCCGCGTTCTACTATCTCGCCGTGCCCTTCAGCAAGGGCACGATTACGGAGGCCGACAGCAATCTGACGTATCGGCCGCTCCAGTATCCAGTGGCCAGGGTGATTGTCGACGCGCGACGCAGTCCCGTCAGCGAGATCCTCTTTTGGCTGCAGTGCCTGTCCGGCTTCATCGCGCACTCCATCACCGCCGGCGCGTGCAGCTTGGCCGCCGTGTTTGCAATGCACGCCTACGGCCGCCTGGAGGTCCTGGTGCAATGGATCGAGCATCTGGTGGACGGCCGGGAGGATTTATGTGATAACGTGGACGAGAGATTGGCGATGATCGTGCAGCAGCACATACGAATCTTACGGTAAGCAGCTCTCGGACGTGAATCGTCGGTGCTTCTTGAAATTCTCAAGCAAAGATGAAATGAATTAGCGCTCTTTGTACCTATGTATGTAAAGCGCTCCGATTCATTTTTCTTAATTGTTTACGTAATAAAATCGTGTCTCTCCTGCGAATATATATTCTATGCGATAACATACACGTTAACACTTGCAGTTTTTTATCGCTAACGGACAAAGTATTGCGTGAAATATCTGTCGTGGAAATTGTAGGATGTACGTTAAACATGTGTTTTCTCGGATATTATACTCTCACGGTATGCATATCGTACAAAAAGTACGTACCACGCAAAGCGCATCGCTATTTCGAAGCAATGTTCGGAGTGTCGAATGATCGACGTGTACAATATACAATGGAGCATACAATATGTCCTCGAATATAGGAATCTTTACGTTCCAGGAATGGGAGAGTAAAGAGACTACAAGTTATATAACGTATACCGTTCTGCTTATATCTCTTACGTTCAATATTTTTATATTTTGTTATATCGGCGAACTTGTTGCCGAAAAGGTAAAGTCCTTACAGCTCGAATCGTTTGTCTGCACCTGCGATAAATTTACTACGGCAAGCTTTATGAAGTACATCTTCACAATATACATATTTTTTATAATAACAGAAGCATTCTAAATTTTAATGACAATGGAACTTATAAAATTCAGAATTTATTTCAGAAAGTAACTCTTAGTTGTGTAAATGTTGTATATGTTGTGGAAAGAAAATAAGAAAAATAATCTGTAAACAGTGCAAGAAGATCGGCGAGGTATCGTATATGATCGACTGGCATCGTCTATCAGGAAGAAAGGGCCTCGCCCTCGTATTGATGATCGCCATGTCCAATACGTCGATCAAACTAACCGCTGGAAATCTCTTCGAATTATCCCTCAGTACTTTCGGTGACGTGAGTAAACCAATGTTAATGTCTACCATATCTGTCGAGAAGTATGACTTATATATTATTCGTAAAACCGATAGGTGGTTAAGTCATCGGTTGCCTACTTAAACATGCTACGTACATTAACTACATGAAACTCGTCCAAAGTGTACAAATTATTAAAACGATCGTTAAATAATTGTCAAATAGTTATTCCATACGTATTGAGAAAAAAGTCATCCGTCGCTTATTTGAACATGCTGCGTACTTTAACTACATAAAATTTGCTTAAATTGTAGAAATTAATACGACTACTACAATTGCAAATAAATGCCAATTAATTATCTGATACACATTTCAAGAAGAAAGAAAGAAATGAATGCGATTTTAATAAATAAAAGATGGACTAATGTTTATTAAAATATTTGCTAAAAAAGAGAGTATAATATATTTTTCGCATATTTTCCTCTAAAATATCTCTGCACACATTATTATATGATATAGAATTGTGCAATGCGAAATATTCAAATTAAAATTGCAAATTTATAGTAGTTATTAAACAGCATTAAATCTTTTATGAATATAGCAGCAGTAAATTTCGCACATGTTAACTTGTCAAATTTTATTGAATAAAATAGAAACGAAACATATAATGTTGTACCATTGAAGTACATATTATTGCATTATTTATTACCTAGTACAATTTCAAACATGTATTATCAGACAATATCTGGACAGTATCATTAAATACATGCTTCTTATACTTGATACGTTAATAATTGATGTTTCAATCATAAAACAATGAGATAAAATACTATACAAGATTTTCAGAAAGTATCTTCATAATAATATTTTACAAATTTCATCTAAACGAATGCAGTTCTATTTTATTATAAAATAATTTTTCTAATTTGGAAAAAATTATAAGATAAAACACAAAATATTTTTTTGATAATTTAAAAATATATTACATAAGTAGTACGTATATAATTGTATAGTAAAACATAGTAAAATACATAAGATTTCTAGTAATACTTACACATTATGATATTTGTATTTCCAAATGACTCATGTATAAGCTTTATACAAGGTGTCCCGAAATTCACGAATCAAAATATCATAGCAAGAAAGTCTCTGAAAAATTAAGTAAACAAGTTATATGTAAATTTGTATTTTAGGCAATAGTTTTTGGGATATAAGGGTTTAAATTTAACAAATTATAGATTAATACCTGCGTGAAGTGCGAGACCACTAACACTATTGATACGCTCACGGACATGTTTCCGTTTAATCGTAATCTATAATTGGCTAAATTTGAACTCTTATATCTCAAAAACTACTGCTTAAATTAAAAATTTATAAATAACTTTTTTACTTAATTTTTCGAATACTTTCTTGCTATTTTGATTTGCGAATTTCGGGACACTCTGTAAAACTCACAAGTGAGTAAAATCATATTCGTGCACGCGTAATACAATATAGTACCTTACGCAAAAAAGAAAGGCTTGCGATCCCGTCCCGATCAATTGCGGAAAAAAAAATCTCTGCGAAGAATGCAAATCCTTCCGTGCATAATTTAGAAACAGACAGGTGCAGCGTCACATGAGGAAATCTTGATTCCACCTCACGGAAATTGAAAATTATACGTCTATAAAGTTTACCCTTCGTCCACTGCCGTCTGATCGCCCCTTTCCGAGAAAGGAAGTCTCGCGGAATAGCGCAGTCGCATTTGACTTTCCGCGCTCGTGCTCTCGTACAATCCTGTCAATAACCGTCGAGCTCTCGCCGCTTCAACTGCCGCACAAAACCAACTACCCATGGAGAAGGTAGATCCCGTCGCGGTCGTTTACGATCACAAGAAAGACGTGCGGCTCAGCATCCAGCTGAACCGTTGGATACTGAAGCCGATCGGCGCCTGGCCGAAATCGGCCGGGGTGTCGCATGTCGAGCGATACGCGTACAAGCTGGTGAACGTCATTTGCACCAGTCTGATCGGCTTCCTTTTCGTACCCTCCGCGATCTACCTGGTGCTCGAGATGGACGACGCATACAACATCCTGAAGCTCACCGGGCCGCTGAATTTCTGCCTGATGGCCGTCGTGAAGTACTCTTCGTTGATCTTCCGCGAGAACGACATCCGCAGCGGAATCGAGCACATCGCGAGCGACTGGATGAACACTCGGCATTACGACGATCGGACGATCATGATCAGAAACGCGAAGTTCGGCCGACGTCTCGTGACGCTCTGCGCGGTCTTCATGTACGGCGGTGCCACGTTCTATTATCTCGCGCTGCCGCTCAGCAACGGCAAGGTCACGGAGAATGGCGGAAATTTGACGTATCGCCCGCTGATGTATCCCGTCGCCAGCATGCTAGTCGACGCGCGACGCAGTCCCGTCAGCGAAATCTTCTTCTGCCTGCAAGCCCTGTCGGGCTTCATAGTGCACTCCATCACTACCGGTGCGTGCAGTTTAGCCGCCGTCTTCGCGATGCACGCTTACGGCCGTCTGGAGGTCTTAACACAGTGGATCGAGCATCTGGTGGACGGGCGGGAGGATTTATGTGGTAACGTGGACGACAGATTAACGATAATCGTGCAGCAGCACGTTCGAATCTTACAGTAAGTCAGTTTACGATGTGCACCATCGTCAGTGTCACTTGCATTTAACATACGCCCCTATATGGCGCTTCAATTTATTTCTAATTATTTTCTCCTTTTTATAATTTATTTCCTTTCTATTTAGGGACATTTCATGCGAAATCGTACTTTTAAATATTTTGAATATTCAATCGTTACTTTAAATTATTTTCTACGCGATAACGTGCCTGTTACCTTCCAGTTTTATATCGCTGACGGACAAAATATTACGCGAAATATCTATGGTGGAAATTGTAGGATGTACATTAAGCATGTGTTTTCTTGGATACTATGTTATCGTGGTATGCATATCGTATAACAAAAAGTTCGTACCACGTAAAAAACGCATTAATATTTCAAAGCAATGTCAGAGTGCTGTTCGCGGTTAACAGGTACAATATCAATAATCTTAAATATAAGAACCTTTACGTTTCAGGAATGGGAGAATAAAGAGATGACAAGTTATGTAACGTATGTTGTTTTATATACATCTCTTACGTTCAATATTTTTATATTATGTTACATCGGCGAGCTTGTTGCCGAAAAGGTAAAGTTCTAAAGTCCTAAATTTAAATTATTCTTCTGCACCTCTGATACATTTAATGCCAAGCTTCACAAGTAAATTTTGTAGAAAGCTTATAACTCGATTAGTAATATGACAGGACATTCTCTGCTTTTTACTGGAGATTGCTGAGAATATTAATTTGTTGTGTAAAATGGTTTGCGTCAAAAGTATCGCGCATATTACAACTTTTAAGAAAATTTTGAAATGTGAATATTTTTGATCTTAACTAATCGCGATTTTCCTGCAAACATAGAAAATGACATGTCTTATATCATTTTTGCTGTAGTTAGTTAATCATTATTGTAGCAAAACTTATGGATACAATCTTTCTTATCAAAAACGAAGAAAGTGTGGCAGTAAACTGATCAGAATGAGTTGGAATTTGTTGGGAATTGTTACGATGAAAGTTTTTTTCGATTTTATAAATATAATATTTTATATAGACATGTTTTTCCATTTTTCGTCAAAACTATGATACAAAAACAAGTTACGTATTTTATGATTAAAATAATTATTTTACTTACATCAATACTGATGTGATTACTGTTATTTCTTACAATATAGGGCCGACATTAAAATAAGAACTATATTTTTTGTACATTTTATTATAAAATATGTTACTAGTACGGGATTAATTGTCACATTTTGGCAGCTTTATTTAAAATTTAATAACTTATTTGTACAATAATATATTCAAGACTAATATTTTTTAAATATCTAAGTGCATTATAACGTATATAATTTTTAAAAACCTCTTACATTCAATCTCTTCCGAATACTATTATTCAAAAATTGTGACGATCAACTCCAGCCTTCCCTAATACATGATTCCCTAATATATATTTTTATAATGAACGGAGTTGTATATAATAATAATATTTATCAAATTTATAATTTATTTTAAGAAATTATTTTTAGGTATAAACATAGTTATATTTCGTATGAAGACTAAGAAAAGTAATTTTATAGTGTAAGAAGATTGGCGAGATATCATACATGATCGATTGGCATCGCTTATCAGGAAGAAAAGGCCTCGATCTCATCTTAATAATTGCTGCGTCCAATCAAACATCAATCAAACTTAGTGCCGGAAATTTCTTTGAATTGTCTCTTAGTACTTTCTGCGACGTGAGTAACGCAATGTCAATGTATATAGACTATATAGTAATCTGTTTTCAAGTATAGCACGACTTACACATTCATCTAATTGATAGGTGGTTAAGACATCGGTTGCTTACTTAAACATGCTACGTACATTAACTACATGAAACTTGTCCGACGTGTAAAAATTATTAAATCAATCATTAAATAATAATTGTCAAATAGTTATTTGATACGTATTGAGAAAAAAAAGTGAATGTAATTTTATTAAATAGAAATTTGTCGTATTTATTAAAATATATTGCTGAAAGAAACAATTTTTGTATATTTTTCTTTAAAATATGTCTTGGCAATGCGCTCATCAAAATTATTTTTAAGATTAATGTATTGCAAGACTTAATCATTGACTTTATTAATAATTCGCTTTGAGCTATGACCTGCCACAAGACAGACGTCGTACTTTTGCTAAAGACTGTCCAGTGTGAATCGATTCTACCCTGTAATTATCTTGTATCGGCAAAAAATTGTGCTCACGCAAACTTTCATACTTTTAATTGCTGTGACAGAACTACCGCGGTGATAAAGACACGAAAGCGTGCATAATGTAAACAGCTTTCGTCGTACTTTCATTCATCAGTAACGATGGCGCGACCGCTTCGCAACAAGTGAAGAGACCAGAGAATCGGTTTTTCTCTCTTTTCATATGTATTATATGCCATTATCGAACAGACGACTACGGAATTCCAACTACGAGAGCAGCATTGAATATACGGTGCGCAACGGTATGTGATCGAATCTGAAAAAATCGGAAATAAACGAGATTTAAAAAATCCCCACAGAATTGCTTTTTTAAATCTTCAATCTAATGTTGTAAGTGATTTGTAATATTCTTATTATATAAATATTCAAAAATGTTTCGCGATAACTGGTGGATTTTGCTTGATGAATCTGAAAGTGTATTCTGAAGACAATTAAATGTCTGTTTATTAAATATTTAATTCAGGAAGACTAAATTAATTTATTTCTCAGATTATTGCAAAATATATGTTGAATAAAATTTTACTGAAAATTATTGTTATGTATAATAATACATTTACATTTATTTCATATTATAAATTTATATCCAATTCTTTATTTTCTAGATTCTAAGTATAATATCAGAGAAATGTATAATTATTCTTTTTACTGTTACTTATTTGTCAGTCATAAATATTATATTTTTTAAATAAGATTTTTAAAAACTTAAAAGCACGTTACACTTGCGGTTTTATATCGGACAAAGTATTGCGTGAAATATCTGTCGTGGGAATTGCAGGATATGTACGTTAAACATGTGTTTTCTCGGATATTATGCTCTCACGGCATGCATGCCATAAAAAAGTACATATCACGCAAAGCGCATCGCGAAACAATTCGAAACAATAGCGCTATTTCGAAGCAATGTTCGCAGTGTCGAATGATCGACGTATACAATATACAAATGGAGCATACAATACGTCCTCAAATATAGGAATTTTTACGTTCCAAAAATGAGAAAGTAAAGAAACTATAAGTCATATAACGTACAACGTTCTGCTTATATCTCTTACGTCCAATATTTTTATATTTTGTTATATCGGCGAACTTGTTGCCGAAAAGATAAAGTCCTCACAGCTCGAATCATTTGTCTGCACCTGCGACTAATGCACTGTTAAATCTATAGTGTTAATTGAACCTTATTTAAGTCGCCACTGCTCCTACTTAATAAATAGTTATTTTTTACTAAAACAATGAAGTTAAAACAGTTCAAATTTAACCAAAATTTGGATTAAATTCTATTGTTTTATTTAAAAGTAACTATATTGTTTTAATTAAAAATAACTATTTATTAAGTAGAAGCAATGGCGACTTAAATAAGGTTCAATTTGACACAATAGATTTAACAGTGTGTAACGGCAAATTTTATGATAAAGTACATCTTGACGCTATATTTTTATAATAACAAGATTATAAATTTTGATTACAATGGAACTTATAAAATTCCGATTTTATTTCAAAAAATAATTCTTAGTTGTGTAAGTGTTGTATGTATTGTGGAAAGAAAGTAAGAAAAATAATCTTTGAACAGTGCAAGAAGATCAGCAAGGTATCGTATATGATCGATTGGCATCGTCTATCAAGAAGAAATGGCCTCGCCCTCGTATTGATGATCGTCATGTCCAATATATCGATCAAACTAACCGCCGGAAATCTCTTCGAATTATCCCTCAGTACTTTCGGTGAGTAAGCCAATGTTGATATTTATCATATCTGTCGAGAAATATGACTTATATATCATTCCTAAAACCAATAGGATTAAGTCATCCATCGCTTACTTGAACATGCTGCGTGCCTTAATTACATTCGCTTGAAATTTGCTTGAAGTGTAGAAATTAATACGACTGTTGATTGCAAATAAATGCCAATTAATTGTCTGATATATTTCGAGAAGAAAGAAAGAAATAAATGCGATTTCAATAAATAAAAGATGGACTAATATTTATTAAAATATGTGCTAAAAAAAAGAGTATAATACATTTTTCGTAAATTTTCCTCTAAAAATATCTATGCATACATTATTATATGATGTAGAATTGTGCAATGCGAAATATTCAGATTAAAATTTAAAGTAGTTATTAAATAATATTAAATCTTTTATGTATCATGACAGCAGTAAACTCAATTTTGCACATATTAAATTATTAAATTTTAGTGATTCATTAAATAAAACAGAATCGAAATAAATAATATTGTATTATTTATTACGTAGTACAATTTCATACACGTATGTTATCGAACAATATCCGAATAATATCATTAAATACATGCTTTTTAGACTTGATCATTAATAAACAATTGATGTTTCAATCATAAAGCAACGAAATAAAATATGAGATTTTCAGAAAGTATCTTCATAATATTATTTCACAAATTTCATCTAAATGAATGTAATTCTATAACATTTTATTATAAAATTGTGGCTATTGCAACTCTTACCTTAATCTTAACCCATGTTAAGATATTAAGAAAGAGTAAAAGCAAAAATAATCTAACCTGCGAAGGCATGCATACACGGTCATTCGTGACAAGGCCCTTTTGGCGGGGTGCCTTCAATTTGGTTCACTAACCTGGCTTACCCGGGGGTGAAATCGACGAGCAAGCTCGTGGCGTAACGTTTCGCCTGGCCGTCGATACGCGTGGACTGCCGCAACCGAGTCCGTGCGTGCGTGCCGTGCCAGACAATAAAAATTTCTCGGCATGTGGCAGCGTCGAGAAAAGCGTTCGGTACGCCGTCCAAGAGATCCGAGCACGTCCACCTGACTATCATCGTGATGCCGGTCTTGGAAAGGAGACGATACTGTCTCACGTGTGTGGATCGTTTTATACGTTGGTCGGAGACATTTCTGATGAAAAACCAGAAAGCGACAGAGACTGTCATACAGAACCTTCTACGAGGGATGGATTTGCCGATTCGGGGCACCCCTCTGAATTACGACGGATCAGGGTCGGCAATTTGAGTCGCACCTTTTCCGTCGACTGAACGAGCTGATGGGGACGCAGCGGCTCAGAATAATGGCATATCATCCGCAGGCGAACGGAATGGTGAAAAAGTTCCATCACCAGCTGAAAGCGGCGCTAAAGTGTCACGAAAGTAGCCGTCAGACCGAGGTGCTGCCTACAATGCTATTAGATATCTGTTCAGCCTGGAAGGAAAATATCTCCAAGCAACTGCAACCGAGATGGTTTATGGAGAGACGCTGCGAATTCCGGGGCAGTTTCCTGAGCCGGCAATCGACCGAAAACACGGACAATGCCAGGAATTTGCGCCGACGGTTCGACGACATGCACCCGATCGAGAGAACACGGCACGGAAAACGAAGGTCATTTGTGTTTAAAGACGACGGCCGATCGAGTATTTATCCGCGATGGGCCATGGAAGGCTGTTACAACCGCCCTATGATGGGCCGTACTTTGTCGTTCGCCGAACTGATGAAAATTTTTGCCGTGCGTTGGAAACACGAAGTCTTCTCAGACAAAGCCAAAGATGACTTACAATTAGTCCGGTAGAAGAGTTCGATTCCCGGACCGCCTACAAATGAAAATCAATCGAAAATTTTAATTTTAAATTTATAATGCATACTTTTAAATCTTTTGTAATTTATTTTATTTTATTTTATCATTTTAAATCATTTAACTCACGACTCCACCTTTAAAGATAGACTTCAGTATACTGTATTTTATTTTTATTTATTTATTTATCTTATTTTATTTTAATATATTTATTTGATTTATAATTAACTTATTTAGCGATCGCGAATATTTTATTGTATCGTGTTAAACACTGGCAAAGAGGTATTGTGACGATTGCATCGCACAATCCATGCTAAGATATTAGGAAAAAGTAAAAGCAAGAATAATCAAGTCTGCGAAAAAGACATGCATACACGCACATAGATACATACATACCAACATACAAAAACAAACAGTTAACGCGGAAATCCCTGACTTATTTGCCTTTATCGATAAGTATTCCGAGTGAAAAAAAGCGTTATTATTATTAAAATTTAATTATGTTCTCGAAAGCCCAATAACGGAACTTTCGTTGTTTGGGAACTTCGCGCAACCGATCGCAAAAAGGTCAGGAAAACGAGGAGTCGTTAGAGAGAGAGAGAGAGAGAGAGAGAGCTAACTAAACGGTCGCACAATAAAATAAACGCATAATTACTCATTTTAATTTCTGAACTTATAAATTATATTAAACCGACATTTAACCAATCCTTAACACCCCGGAATCCTATAAAACGATGGACGTTTAAAACCTAAAAAATAATTTCTCTAATTTGGGAAAAATTATAAGGTAAAACAAAAGATATTTTCTTGTCCATTTAAAGATATATATCATGTTGATATTATATATATTATAATAATATACAATATGTATAGTAATATACAGTAATAAATAATAATACTTGTATTTCCAAATGACTCGTGTATAAATATTGTATAACTCACACGAGAATAAAACCATATTCGTGCACACGTAATATAACACACGTATCTTACGCAAAAAAGAAAGGCTTGCGATCCCGCCCCGATAAATTGCGGAAAAAAAAAATCACCGCGAAGAATGCAAATCCTTTCGTGCATAATTCAGAAACAGACAGGTGCAGCGTCACATGAGGAAATCTTGATTCCCCCTCACGGAAATTGAAAATTATACGTTTATAAAGTTTACCCTTCGTCCACTGCCGCCTGATCTCCCCTTTCCGAGAAAGGAAGTTCCGTGGAGTAGCGCAGTCGCATTTGACTTTCCGCGCTCGTGCTCTCGTAAAATCCTGTCAATAACCATCGAGCTCTCGCCGCTTCAACTGCCGCACAAAACCATCTATCCATGGAGACGGTGGATCCCGTCGCGGTCGTTTACGATTACAAGAAAGACGTGCGGCTCAGCATCCAGCTGATTAGTTGGATATTGAAGCCGTTCGGCGCCTGGCCGAAATCGGACGAGATGTCACACGTCGAGCGATACGCGTACAAGCTGGTGAACGTCATTTGCACCAGTCTGATCGCTTTCGTCTTCGTACCGTCCGCGATCTATCTGGTGCTCGAGGTAGACGACGCATACGGCATCCTGAAACTCACGGCGCCGCTAAACTTTAACCTGATGGCCGCCGTGAAGTACTTCGCGTTGATCTTCCGCGAGAACGACATCCGCAGCGGCATCGAGCACATCGCCAACGACTGGATGAACACTCGGCATTACGACGATCGGACGATCATGATCAGAAACGCGAAATTCGGCCAACGTCTCGTGATAATCTGCACGGTGTTCATGTACGGCGGTCTCGCGTTCTATTGTGTCGTGCTGCCGCTCAGCAACGGCAAGGTCACGGAGGACGACGGAAATCTGACGTATCGCCCGCTGGCGTATCCCGTCGCCAGCATGCTGGGCGACGTGCGACGCAGTCCCATCAACGAAATCTTTTTCTGCCTCCAAGCCCTGTCGGACTTCATAGTGCACTCCATCACCGCCGGCGCGTGCAG